GGGGGGGAGCTCTCACGGTGGCTTTCAGAGGCGACTTAAGTTGGACCTTCCCCGGTTTAATGGTATGAACCTGGATGAGTAGCTCCTCTAGATTCGCCAATACTTTGAAATTCAAGAAGTTCTTGAGGAGCAATGGATAGTCGTGGCATGTCTGAGTTTTGAAGGAAAGGCGACGAAATGGTATTGTTGGTTTCAGGATCTCCATCCCTCACCCACTTGGAGACAATTTGTCGAGGCTTTGGATGGGAGGTTCAATGGTCCCATGGGATCGAACTGCGCTGGTAGGCTGGCCAAGCTCACCCAGGTGACCGGAGTTCAGGAGTATCTGGAAGACTTCCAGAGGTTGTCAAGCCGCGTGAAGGGGCTGCCAGAGGAATTTCTCATCGGCTGTTTTGTGGCAAGACTCCGTGCCGACCTCAAAGCCAGTGTTGAGAAATTTGAGCTTGTTACCCTGTCCTATGCCATATGACTAGCTCTTCTTGAGGAAGAGGAGCAAAATCCGAGAAGGAGAATCAGCCGGACGGAGTTCTAGAAACCCAAGGCTCCTGTATCCAGTCTAACCACTACCAAGGTGCCGGAGATAAAGAAGATAACTCTGGCAGAAGCTAGAGAAAGATGGGTAAAGGGGTTGTGCTTCCATTGTGACGAGCTCTACCACCCTTAACACCATTGTAAGAACCCCAAGCTGTTTTGGATCGTGGGGCCACAAGAGGATGAATCGGCGGCCACAGACGATGAACCCGACCAATCAATGGACAGGGGCGACCATGTGGTAACGCTCGAAATCTCTCTGCAAGGATTGATCGGGAGTGATTCCCCTAAGACTATGAGATTGTTGGGAAGGATTGGTAAATACCCCTTGCACATTTTGGTGGACAGTGGGTCGACCCACAACTTTTTAGACCCATGGTTGGCCCAAAAAGGCAATATCACACCCACCTCTGATCAGGCTTTTGAGGTTGTAGTTGCCAATGGTGAGAAGCTCACTGGGAACGGTGTCTGGTTGGGGGTGGCTATACAAGTCCAAGGCACCACCATTACCACGGATTTTTTCCTCCTAGCTCTAACAGGGTATGACACGGTATTGGGAACCCATACCGTGACCATCTCCGACAGATTCCCCATCCCGGTAGTGGACGAATTGATTGATGAGTTACAAGGAGCATGCATTTTCACCAAACTAGACTTAAGGTCCGGTTATCACCAAATTCAAATCAAACGCGACGATGAGCATAAAACTGCTTTCAGAACTCACAAAGGGCACTACGAGTTTCTCGTGATGCTATTTGGCCTTAGTAACGCTCCCTCGACTTTCCAAGCATTAATGAATGAGATTTTCCATGAGTACCTTCGATACTTTGTTCTGATGTTTTTTTATGATATATTGGTTTACAGCAGGTCCTGCATTGAGCAAATAACCCACTTAAGACTAACATTGGGAGTTTTGAAAAAAAATAAATTGTATGTCAGGATGAAGAAGTGCAGGTTTGCCACAAATCGGGTTGAGTACCTAGGACACATCATATCAGCCGACGGGGTGAGCATGGATCTAGACAAGATACAAAGCATTCAAAACTGGCCCAAGCCAAGACACAAAAAGAGCTAAGGGGGTTTATGGGTCTTGCAGGGTATTATCGTAAGTTTAATAAGGGGTATGAGCTTCTAGCAAGGCCACTTACCCAGTTGCTTAAGAAGGGAGGGTGGGCCTGGGCAGCAAAGACCGATCTGGCTTTTTCAGGGGTTGAAGACGGAATTGGGGCGGTACTCTCCCAGAATGTGATGCATTAGGAAACGGAATTGGGGCAGTACTCTCCCAGAATGGTCGACCCTTGTCCTATTTCAAAAAAGCTCTACAGGGCCGAGCCCTCTCACTCTCAACTTATAACAAGGAACTCCTAGCTGTCGTGATGGCCACTCAAAAATAGAGGCCATATTTGTTGGAGAAGAAATTCACTATCCGGACCAACCACCACAGCTTAGTCTATCTATTGGAACAAAAATTTCACACCCCATCCCAACAAGAGGTCATAAGCAAATTGATGGGCTTTGATTTTGAGGTACAATACAAGAAGGGGAGAGAGAACCTTGTTGCAGACGCCCTATCGAGATGCCACTTCGAAGCTCTTCATGCCCTCTCAAAACTAATTCCTAGTTGGATATCACTTGAAGAGGAGGTAGCAATTGATCCAGACCTACAAGTTCTCAAGGAGGCCATCCTTAGGGGAGGCAAACCAGGGCCAAGATATGAAGTGAAGCATGGGCTCATATGGAAGAATGGCCCGGTGATGATAAGACTAAATTCTCAGTTCAGAATCAAACTCTTTGAAGAAGCCCATTGTTCTCCTACAGGTGGACACTCGGGGTATCAAAACACACTACAATGCCTCAAGTGGATCTGCTTTTGGAAAGGTTACAGGAAGGAAATACAAGCATGGGTCCATGAATGTGATGTTTGTCAACGATACAAAGCAGAGAACCTCCCAACCCTGGGACTACTCCAACCTCTGCCTATTCCTTCAAAGGTGTGGACTGAAATATCCATGGATTTCACTGAAGGTCTTTCGACTTCAAACCATAAGTCAGTCATCATGGTGATAATAGATAGACTGAGTAAGTACGGACACTTTCTTCCTTTGTCTCACCCATATACGACCCAGGATGTTGCTCAAGCATTTGTAGATGGGGTATTCAAACTGCATGGGATGCCAATATCTATAGTTGTGATCGAGACCCGACCTTCACTAGCCAGTTCTAGAAAGAATTCTTCAAGCTTCAGGGGACCAAGCTTTGTATGAGCTCAACATACCACCCCCAAACTGATGGACTAAACGAGGTACTGAACTGGACCCTTGAGACATACCTCCGGTGCTTTACAAGTTCTCTTCCCCATCGCTGGTCCAAATGGCTCTCTCTAGCCGAGTGGTTGTACAATACCACACACCACTCCTTAACCAAGAGTTCTCCATTCGAAATTTGTACGGATATCCACCACCAACACAGCTATAACATGTGCCAGACACCACTAAGGTACAGTCAATGAATGAAGAACTGAGAGAGAGGGAAGTTATCCTAGCAATGCTTAGGGGCAACTTGAAGCTAGCCCAGAAAGGATGAAGCGTTTTGCAGATCAGCATCGGAACGAGAGGGTATTGGAGATCAAGGATTGGGTTTATTTATGCTTACAACCATATCGCCAAAGCAGCATAGCCACAAGGAAATCCCAAAAGTTATCCGCCTGTTTCTTTGGGCCATTCAAAGTCCTAGACAAGATAGGCACAGTAGCTTATCACCTGGAGCTACCAAAAGGATGTAAACTACACCCAATATTTCATGTTTTGTGGATGAAAAAGAAACTGGGGGCCCATATACACCCCATTGCCACCTTGCCACCATTGACAACTGAAGGTATTCTCCAACCCAGCCCAATAGCGGT